AAAAAAAACTAATAAAAACTAAAACTAAACAGTAAAACAATAAAAACTAGCAAATCCACTGTAAAAAAAACTAATAAAAACTAAAACTAAACAGTAAAACAATAAAAACTAGCAAATCCACTGTAAAAAAAACTAATAAAAACTAAAACTAAACAGTAAAACAATAAAAACTAGCAAATCCACTGTAAAAAAAACTAATAAAAACTGAACTAAAAGAAAAAAGTCAAAACTAAAACTAAACTATAATGAAAAACCCAAAACTATTATAACCTTGGTCAGGACTCTGCAGTTTACACTCATCTACAGGCCAGCGGGCACTCTTTCAAGGATGAAGATGTTCTCATCCTTGATAGAGAGGAACGTTGGTTTGAGAGAGGAGTAAAGGAAGCCATCTTTGTGAAGAAAAAAAGTCCACCATTAAACCGAGGTGGAGGCCTTTGTGTCCAGTTGTCCTCCTCCTACAACGCTGTTATTGCAAGTATGACTCAACCCACTGTGAGCAAAAGATGTGAATCAGGGTCCCAACGATACTCAACACAACTAGGGAAAGAGAGACAAAAGCAAGGGGACGTTGAACACCGCTTGTACTCACTACATGCACATAACAAATCACCAAATAACCACAGCTGAAGCATCCAAACCATTAAGTCAGGTGATGGGGCATATGACCCTCTATGAACAATAGAGCCAATCAAACCTATTGTTAAGTGATGGCCCTCTTTTGCATGTGACCAACCTGTTTGACCACCATGTGGAGCCAGTGCTTATAAGGCTGAGTTCACCTGAAACTCAGAGTGAAGAAGTCTCTTGGAGGAGAGACAAAATGTTTCACTACAGAACCCATCCAGAAGACCTACTTATTTTTTCTTTTTGATTTTTTTTACCTAGATTACTGAGATGCGTCAGGACATTCCTGAAACACACCAACCCCCACATTATGAGTCATTTTATCAGAAGAATGTGTTGTTCAGTGAATACAAAAAGGAATACAGAAACAGCCACTTAACAATTGTGTGTCCTGTACACATGAAAGCCATGAAACAAATTAGTTTTCCTTATTCCTTCCCTTCCCTGAATATCTATTAGATTAGACTAGACCTTTATTGTCATTGTACAGATCACAATGAAATTATTAAAGTTCTCTTTGGAAATTGTTGCCTTTCACTTATTTTAGCCCATTACCTGACCTTTTTTTTCCGAAACACTCAACACAATGCCAAAAAGACTAGTCCAAAACAATTTATAATATAAGAAACAAAATTGAC